GGGGGGGGGAACCAAAAAAAAAAAAAAAGTGAGAATGTATCTTTTCCAAGGAACTTCCACACTAAGAAGAGAAAATTAGAGAAAAAGTGTTATTCTTCTCTCCACATGTTGATAGTTATACTTTCGTCTACTCGTTTAAAAATCTCTAATAAGTTAAAAAGTTCACCTCAAAGAGGGTTCAAGATATTAAGATAAGGAAACAAATCAAATCAAAATTAAAAGAAGGATGGATGAGCAACCACAAATTAAAATTAAAATTGTTTAGAGATAAAATTGTCATAAAAACTTTGTTCGGAAGCAAAATTGACATCGACCAATAATTAGAGGCATTTTTTAGATGTGTTCGAAAAAATTATTTCATAAACGTATTTCACGTGGATCAAATAGTTCAATCAATTCGTCTATTCGTACAATAATCTGTCAAATGACTATCTCAATACAATAGATTAAATAATAAATTGTCAAAACACGATCTCAATTCAATAACTTAAACTATTTGGTCATCAAAACTTTGATATCATATCAAATAATCATTTTAACCCAACAACTTCAACTATTGGATGGGACCATATGTATATTCTCATGCATTAGCATTCTAGCTCGAACAATAGAATTGAAACGAAAAGTGGTTTCATGTCTAAATGTCTTTGTTGACTTATCTATAATGCTAAGGTTTTATGCAAGGTTTCGGAAGGGTGGTAATTGTATTCATCTTCTTGGATATCTCGTCTTTATTTACTCAAATAGAAGTGAACTAGTTTTTTTTACCCACATAACACATAAAATTATTTTTAAAAATTTATTTGAGTTTGTCATCTCATGTTATATTGTATGTCTATCAAAATATATCAAATCAAAATTGAATAAAAGTCTATTCAATTTTATAATTTGTTAATTAAAAAATTTGTATTTGATCGATTATTTTTTATATTTTCATAAACTTTTTATTAAAAAATATTATTTATTTATCTCTATTTACATTTTTAGTTAAAATGTTATTTTATAAATTATTTTTTCTAAACATCTTTTTACTTTAAATTTTTTAATGAAAAAATCAAGGAAAAAAAAAACAAGGACCAAAGTGACTAAAATGAAACAAAAAAATTTATGGACCAAAAAAATAATATTCAAAAAAGAAAAATCAAAGTGTAAGGTCACGAAAACTTTCATAATAAATGTTTTTAAAAAATTCAAAAACTACAAAAAAACTATTATATAGTAAAATGAATAATGCATATGAATTTGTGTGAAGAGTTCATATGAGTCCGGATAAAAATATTTGAAACAATGCCAATGAATAGTAAATTATTTTTTTTATTTTTTATTTTTAACACAGAGGGTCTTTTGCTTTTAAGGAGACACAGATGGAAGCAAATAAAAAATACTCGATCTATTTGGACATAGAAGTAGATAAAGTCTCTTTTGACATGGTGAACATCGATCCCTGAATCTATATATAAAAATAATTTGTTATACTTTTAAGTTTTTCAATATATATCTAAAGTAATTTGAGTAGTTTTGTTTCTTCTAATATTACTTTGATTAAATTTTTTTGATAAATGCAAATTATTTTTTTGTTTGATAAATGTAAAATATATTTTTATAACTTATATAGTCTACAAGATGGAAATTGATGGTGAGTTTTTTTTTATCCACATCTAAGGAAGACATGTGTGAAGAATTAAAATTACTTTCGATACAAATAGTAGTGAATATGGAGGTTAGAAGGCCTTGTAGAGGCGGAGGTAGAGGGTGGATCCTCTGTTTCCATGGACCTCCATTGTTGCCATCCCTAGGTTAGAACTAGAAAATTAAAAGAGGAAGCGAACCTTCTTAATCACCAAACTTTTCTTCTCTTTTTTTATTTTTATTTTTCTTAAAGCGTGACAAGAAAGATATATTAATTGTTTATTTTACACATTTAAATTTGAAATATTGGTTACTTCTTCAATTATGAGTAATCCAAATTACTCGTTTTCATTTTTGCATCTAAACCTTTTAAACAAAGCAAAATATTAATTAGCGGGTCAACTGGTTACTCTGTCCAAGCCATAAAAGGAAAAATATACAAGATAAAATGCTATGAAATATATCAGGTCAATCCTGTCCGTAGTGCTAGTGCTAATGTAGAGATTAATTGTATATTTAATCTTTCTGCTTTTGATATTTTTTTAATGTGACTTCTTTTTTTTTTTTTTTAGACTCTCTGTTCTAGATAATTTTTTAATGTGACTTCTCACATAAAATTTTGGTTAATTTTTTGACAATAAGTGACAGCTACACTGTCACCTCAAATAATAATGATATATCTCAAAAATTTTATTTTCAAAAGATAAAAAAAAATTTAAATTTTTTACAAGTGTTATTATTATCCTACGTAACAATTCATATGTCACTTGTTGTTGAAAAATTGACCCAAATCCTACTGAAGAGGTTAAATAAAGAAAATATTTAGATTGAAAGAAATCAAATTAATAAAAGAGCTACGTTAAGAAAATGTGAAGAATACAAAAATAAAATATGCAATTAATCCGAGAATGTAGTTATGAAAAAAAACTAATTATCATCACTCCAAATAGGAATTCTAAAAGTTGCGAATTCAACGACCGAATAGATGTGTCGAGTTCTATGTGTCATTGGATTGTAGAATACATAAATGGAATCCAAATGAATTTCATAAATCCAATCATTCAAATTAGTTTCTAAAATTCTTAACAAATTTTAAATGTAATCCAAATTAATTTTCTAAAATCCGTATAAATTTTGCGCTCATAACCAGTTTACTTAGTTAATATTTATCCATGGATAAAACATCAAATACTCTATAATATTTAAATTTTCATCCTTTTAAAGGTTTACTGATAACAACTTCACATGCCTGAATTAGTACGTTCGGAAGCATTTTGATGGTTATTTGGTTTAACTGTCAAAACGAAGTGAATTTATTGTTACAAGAAATGGTTTATTATTATTATTATTTTAATACAACCATGAAGAAGAATAATGGAAAGAGAATGAAACCATCGATCTATTCTTATGTAAAACAATTGGATAAACTATAAGCTTGCTCAATATCATTTTCTATTTTCCGTTTTTTTTTATTTTTAAAAAACCAAAAGCTATATTATATTCATTGTTTGTAGTGTTTTGAAAACTTTTTTTATTTTTTTAAAAGAATAAATGTAAAGAAAAAAAATCTAATTCTAATACAAACTTAATTTAAGAAATATAATAATAATTTATTAATTAAAAATAAGGGTAATGGTCTAATTTTTTATTATATAATGAGATCAGTATTCAACTTGTAACGCGCACACACAAAGATATATATGAGTCAATTATGTCCTTGTAACTTAAGTGAGTTTTTTTTTCTTTGTGATTTTTTTCTGTTAAACCATCGAAAAAGTCATGTGACTTGCACTTGAATTTTTTTTTCAAAAATTTCCCTCATCTGAACTTGTGCAAGTCACTTTTTTAAATATTTTTTGGGGTATTTTCAATAAAAATATTATTCAAGTGCAAGTCAAGTGACTTTTTAAATAGTTTAACCAAAAAATTTCATTGGACAAACAAGTTGTAAACTCACCTAAAATACGGATACATAATTGGTTTATTTTAAAATATCAAGACAGATTGGACATTAATTTTATTATATAAGGACAAATCGAACCATTTTTCTTTAAAAATATAAACTAGTGATATCTTGTAATTTATTTTTATATATAACAAAACGAGTAACATTATGGCAACCGAACGAGTAGTAGTGTCAATGGCAATATGTCAATGAATGAAATGATGCTTGTAGTGATGATAATTGTCATGCTACTATCAAATTTATGATGAATGTTATTTTATTAGTAAATAGTGATAGTTGTAACTCCTAATAGGTTGAGAGAGGTGGTCACAATAATATGTTAGCATAAAAAATAGTCTTAATACGTATGAAAAAATTATAAAAAATATTTATAGTGGTATCATTGGTGATGTAGTTAATGATAATAGTGGTAATATCAAGCAAGGTGTTATTTATTTATTTTTTTTAAGAAATGAAAATGTGGGTAGAATATCCAATATTCTTTGACAAGAAACATTGTATTCACATTATATCACTTTTTTACTTAGAAGAACCTTCATTGCATCTATGTCAAGATCGAAATTTAGAGATTTTTTTGAGAGTAGCTACGATCTTATGTGAAGACGTAGATATATTGTCAAATGCATGTTTTGATGGATGAAATTAGAACTCTTGACTTCATGAGCGAGACCTTTATGAAAGCTTGTTTACTTCTATACCAACTCATTATTAGCATATTAAGTAAGATGGTGGTAGTGTGACAATAAAAATGGTAATTGTCATGGTTATGAAAGCAGTGGCGGTTGACATCATGATAGTGATAAAAATTATAATGAGGATGTGATGATGGTGGTAATATTAGAAACATTTTGTAATTTAAAAAATAAAAAAATGACTTTTTGTTATTTTCAATATATATATATATATAAACGCAAGAGTTCAACTAATGTTGTTTCGCTTTTTTTTAATCATTGAAGGTACCAAATAACATCTATATTTTTAGCTTTATAGATTTATCGGTTTTCAAATCCTACCGTATAATTTAAAATCTTCCGATTTTACTTTTATAATTTTACTTCTATAGTTTAAAATTTTTTTTGACTTTTTGCAAACTATTACATAACTATATAAAAAAATCTTTTTTAATAATTTTTATTTTTATTTTCTCTTATTTATTCTTTCCTCTCAAATCTCAATAAACATTATACTATTTCTCACAAGTCAAATTAATAAAATAGGATATTTGATGATTAGAGATAACATTGTAATTTTTAAAAAATTAAAGAGTAATAATGAGAATTTTTAAAATACAAAGGCTGGTGTATAATATCGAAAATCAATAGAAGTAAAAAAATTGAAGTTCCTCCTCTCTTGTTGTTGTTGTTCTTCTTATTTTTTTTTTTTAATTATGTAGTGGTGTTACACTCTACCCCGAAGTCCCTGACGGCAAATCGACAACCATGCGGACAGTGCTTTATGCCACGAAAAACATGTAACGAAAAGAGACATAATAAATAATTAATTGGGACGTTACCCAAAAATTACCATGGATACCACTATGTCAATCGTATTTTTTAGTAGTGTTTTATTTTTCGTGTAACATAGCATTCAACGATGCTACCTTCAACTTTTTGCCGAACTCATTTATTCTCCTGCTTGCAACCATGCGTACCAACCGATGCCAAGTACCAAAAACACAAAGAGGCAAAGAGCCAAGCCCAAACAAGCAAAACTCTCAAGAAAATTTGACCCGTTTGAACGGACCATAACCATACGAAAACCATAACCATACGAAAAGACATTGGCTTCAACACCCTGTCCCTGTAAATTGCTTGAGAAACTGGAGTACGATAAGTTCTGGTCTTGTTGCTTGGACCGATCCAGCTCTATTTCCAGTCGCACTTCAAAATTCAGATATCGTACCTTCACCCCTCTCATGTCTCTAGTCCCAAGTCCTCTCCAATCGAAGAGTACAACATACCTTTCCCTCTCTGAAAAGGTGTCCCTACCTTCCTTCGTATGTGCCTCTCCTTTGGAACCCTACCAATATTTGTGGGTCCCACAATTCAAAACCCTGACTATAAAGACAACCTTAAAGTAACAGTGTTTTCCCTACTCCCTTCTATTCCCCTGTCTATCTCACCCTCAACAAAATCCTCCCCATGAAATGGCAGATCACTTTGGAGGTGCAATCTCTCTCTCAAGAGAACTCTCTAACACTTCTGATTCCTCCTCCTCCACCTCCGAGCATAGCCCGAGAAGTGTTCCTACACTCTCCACCACTCCTGTGACAGGAGACTCTCCTTCAAGACTAGGTGGACCCCGCAACAATACCTCGCCTGATGATCAACACCGCCAACAACAACACAACAACATCCAATCAGTTCAGATTCAGAGAAAGCCAAGAGGCAGACCACCAGGCTCAAAAAACAGACCTAAACCACCCATCATCATCACCAAAGACTGCGAATCCTCCATGAAACCAGCCATCCTCGAGATCTCCGCTGGTTCTGATGTGATCGAAACCATAATCAACTTTGCTCGTAGAAACCATGCGGGCATAAGTGTCATCAGTGCAACTGGGTCTGTCGCTAATGTTACTCTTCGCCACCCAGTTTCTCATACTCCTCCTCTATCTTTACGTGGACCCTTTAACTTGCTTGCGTTGTTTGGCTCTTTTGTTGGTTCTTTTGCAACAAATAAAGGAGCATGCGCTTCTCCTTCTTCTTCTCCTCCTGGTTCTTTGTATTCTTGTTCTTCTTTTGGGATATCTCTTACAGGGGTACAAGGGCAAGTTTTTGGAGGGATTGTGGCTGGAAAGGTGATAGCTGCAAGTCAAGTTGTGGTGGTGGCTGCTACTTTCTTGAACCCTACGTTCCACAGACTTCCAAGTGAGAATGATGAGGCTGATCAAGATAATAAACCTAGCGTTGGTGGTGGTGGTCCTGCAAGTGAGTCTTGTGTTAGTACTGGCATGTCCATGGCTATTTATGGTGTGGCTAATCCAACTCCAGTCAATTGCCAGATGCCTCCTCCTGATGTTATGCACTGGCCGGGCGCTCCCCCTCGCCCATCTTATTAGGAGAAATAAAATTTTCAACTTTCTTGGGGATGGATTTAGGTGCAAAATCGTGCTAGATGACTTGCAGCATGTGGTTTTTAGTTTTACAAGATTGTCTGGCTGATGTTTGGGAAGGAGAAATTTAGTTCAAGAGTTTTATTGTTACGAAGGCAACTAAAATTAATGTCTCTCTCTCGATAGCTAGATTTTGTAGTAGCACTTGTTGTCTGGTGCTTGCTGCGAAATTTAGGCTATACCTCCTTAATTCTTAATATTTATGTAGCTTCTACATAGACATGAAGCCTTTCCTTTCCTTGGTTTGGTTTTATTGTTCATTGATGGCCGATATATGACTATATTTCTCTTAAGTGTTGATCTGGTTCAGATAGTAGATTGGTTGCAGATCTCTTTGTAATCCTGAAGAAGATGGCATTGGCAGTGGTGCAGAACCATTTATGGTTTGGGCTACTGTTACTATGTATGTTGTTTTCTGCAGCCAATGACCTGATGCCAACGTCAGATCTTTGAGAATTCAATGTCAGGGGTCCAACACCCTTGGGAAGGGTCCAATTTTTCACCTTCTCCCAAGCAATTAAAGCACACAGAGGTGCCTGAATGGAAGCAAGAAACTCTATCCAAGGCTTTCAACTAGTGCTGTAGGCTATAGCGTAGCTAGATGACTAGACTGTAATTCTATTATCAAGAGCTGATAGCATTCGTTACCCAGTCATCTTTTCATTTTTGTCATGTTTCTCATTACAACTGGTAAGATCTTATGAAACCATAGCCTAACATGAATGTACTAAAGTACATGTATACAAAACATTGTACTCTTTGAGGCTGCAACCTGAGCATGTTTCAAGTAAAAAAAAAAAAAAGCTATGTATTCAGATTTTCAATATTTGGTTCATTTACATTCTCCGTGTGGGTTTTGGAGTATGCATATAAAATAAAACTACTATTCTGATGTGCTTTTTACTTGATATCTAACTACTCACGCAAAGGGGTGTAATTTATTTGCCAATATTATGTAGTATTTGACAAACTTTTGTGATATCTCACATAATATAATTAACGAACAGATATAATATATTATCTCCTGCTTTTAGCTCGATACGTTTCATCCTACCTGTACCAAGCACTAGCACATTCTTCTTCCATGGGGGGCTCTATTGGGCGTTGCTTGTATTCTAGCTACTATCTGTTGCTTTAATCCATGAACCATTGTCCCCACACTGTAATAAAAGGGTACTGAATCAAAAGAAAGATCAAACGTATGGTGGGAATGACATGCTATGGCATTGATTCAGGAAGATAGCATGAGGATAGTGAGTCCAAATTCCAGTCAAAATGCACAGTACATACTTTGCTATCAGACATGACAATCACTGCACTTCCCAACTTAACCCTCTTCTCTTCTCTGTCTTATTTATTACACCATGTAGTCTCCCTGAGTTGGGCCGCAGATAGAGAGAAAGAGAGAGGTAACTTTTTTGTGTGCTCAGATAAAATGATGAAAGTTACTCTTACAGTGGTGAAAACATGGGTCAAGGGGACTGCAAAGACTGAGAGGGCTCAAGCCAAGTGGGTGCACGCGGGGTCAGTAAATGCAGCGAGCAATTCTGATATTTGTACACGTTGTCAATCTCATATTGGCCAAATATTTTCACGAGCGATGTCATGTAGAGAGAAAGGTAGAAAGGTGGTAACTATTGGCCAATTGGGAGTATTTCTTTCCACTTGGTCAAACATGTAAACAAGCTTGCTCGAATTGCTATTTTTGTGCCTAGATTTGCTTTCAAAAGGGGCTATAACTTGGCATAGAATGTGCAAAGAAGAAAGCAAACGAGTTTGGAATTAGGCTTTTTCATGTGTGGGGGATTGAAACTTCGTTGCAATGTTGTGAGCTGTATACATATAAAGTGGTCTTGTTTGGTTGCTTCAACCACGTAGAAGAGTGAAGTTTAGTAGGTTAGGGCACAGAGGGCCCTTGTTTGGTTAACTTTCTCCAATTCCAAGGCTGATTTAAGTTTGTACTTTGAGTACGGAACGTGTGCGATAGAAGAGTTCTGGCTCCATTGTTTCTCTTCTAGTCCCCACTGCAGATCCTATGGATCACTGCAATCGTCTGTAGAATTTCTCTCATTTTCATTTATGGATTGTTATTTGATATATCTAGATCATCAGTATCATAACATGTCTCTTTGCTCCATTGATTTCGATACAATTTCACTATGAATAAGAGAATTTCGACCAACTATCATACAGATCCTCATAATCGAATAAAGCTCGACGAATGATATGGGCGAATGACCCAAAAAAAGGACACTACTCTTATTTATTTGATAAAAAAGACATTCATTTATTGAAAACTTGACTTCCTAGAATGTCTTTATTACATCATCATTAAGTATGACTGCATATAAACCGTTAAACAACAACATTCGTCAAAAGAAATCATAAATCTTCAAATAGATGTCAAGAGCTATAGAACATATGAAAAGAGACCAATCTACCTTAACTCCATGTAAGTTGATCACATCTCCACCTATATAAAGGTTAACAAGTGTTACGGATTCGATCTTTTAAACTCAAAAATAAATATAAAAATACATATCTTCTCCTACTAAAAGATAAATACAATTAAATATATTCGAGCTAAACACTTCGCTTCCTATGTTAATTTAATCACCTGGAAGATCCTCACTAAAGAGGACTTGTTATATAAGCACACTCTATTGATTCAATATACAACAAGTTACATGATCGACTCGGATTATTAGAAGCCATCCAAACTATCAATATTAATTCGAGGATCATGATCTCATAAGTGATGTCATTTGTGATGACTTGAGTAAAAAGTCAATTCTAAATTACTTTATTTCTTCACCTCTAAGTTTCTAACTACTCCATTACCAATACCTCGTACACAACAAACACCTCCGCGTGCACCACCTCTAGAGGTTATCGTCCCATCGTAATTTTCACCACACACTTGGCAAAATAGACCAAATCAACACTAGATTAAAGAAAAAATACCTAGATTACGGTGAGAGAGGGGTTGAGAGAGAGGAATGCCATCATTTTTCGCAACTTAAAAAAATTCACTCGTATCATCATGACAAAGAACTAACCATTTAGGGCTTCTAAAGGAAAGGAAAAAGGGATGATAAATCAAATATCACCATAACATCAAGAGTAGGCATAAAGCTGTTAAAAATCAACACAAACCAACGATAGATGCAATTCTTCTTCCTTCTAAACCTCATCGGTGAGCCCCAAACCCAAATGCTAGTAGGCATATAAAAAAATTATAGTTTCCACTCAACCCAAATTAGACTACTACAACCATAAGCTCCAAGTGTTGAATGCTAAACTCCCAAAGAGGTTCTCCACTTGGAAAGATGAATTTGGTAGTGTATAATGACATGATAAATTCCTAAAAACACATATAAAATGTCTCGAGAAACCATAAATTGTTCTTAAAAAGATCGGACACCATGTTTAAAGTACTTCCTAAAACCTTTTGGAGGGTGGTGATAAGGGGGTATAACAACTTAAACTCGAGTCGATCTTTAGTTTCGAAGACTTATGCTCCTACATGGTGGCTTTTTTCTCTATTAGTATTTACGTTAAAAAAACTTGAGAGATTTGTTTTTAGTCTTTTAGAGAGAGGGAGAGATTAAATCAACCTATTTTCCTCCATTCCATAAGAAAAATCTAAGGGTTGATGACCTATTAGAACCCGTAACAACTAAAGTCCATATATTAAGAATTAGAGATGCCAACTTATGGAAGAAAATCTACACTCTCTCTAATAAAAACCTTTATCAACTAAAGAAAGTGATAGAGAGCCATATCTAGGTAAAGAAAGCAATAGCCACCGAACGAGCTCACTCACATTTTCAAAAGTCAATAAAAATACGAAAGGGAAAGGTCACCGCTAGCCTACTTCTATAAAAAAAAATCCTAAAAGCATTATAGAGTCTTATGGTCTTTTAAAATTCCAAACAGCTTTTTTGATCTCTCCTGAATAAAGTGTTACCATGTAAGGGGAAAATTCTTTAGTCACCCAACTCCTATGAAAGGTCCCCCACACCTTCGCAATCTAAAGATGTACTTAACTTTATCATTAGGATAGTTGTTAATTTCTAAAAAATGAAATATAAAGATTGATAACCAAAGGATACCTTAAATATTTCATCAAGACAGAGGGCCCAAACCAAAGAGGGTCAAAAATAGACAAAATCTCTATGATGGGGATTGTCTCTAAATGAACGTAATTTAGGCAAGCCGCTTGCCAAGAAAAAGTTTAATAGAAGGAGAAGGGGAACTCTTCTAATTCTTGCAATCATAAGAAACCCCATGCCTTAGCATGAGCTCATCACTTTCACTCGCATGGATGCGTAAGGAATAATGTTTTCTCTCAATTTCACCCTCATATTATCAACGATGGCCTTTAACCATAAATCCTATCTTATTTTGATAGATTCGACAAGGTCGAGTCAATATTTTATCAAAATAAGCTAACATGAGAGTGTGACACATTTTAACTTGGTCATGCTCATTGGGCTGAATTTTCAAGTTAATTATGTGTGGTAATTTTTTTAATATAATTTAAGTTATCTTATGTGATTTATGTCACCTACTTTTCTTATGTAATTTGAATAAGTTGGAGAATATAAATTATTATAGAATGAGAGTCTTGACTCGTATGGAAATAAAAAAGCAATAGGTTATAACGACATAAATAATAAAAGCAAGACCTAAAACTTTTCCGTCAATAAACTTAGTATGGAAAGTAGTATCGCCACCATAAGTCAAAGATGGACAACTTAAAATATGGTCCCTAACTAAAAAGGACCATTTTAAGTTCACAAGGTATACTTTAGAAACACCTATCAACTATGAAAAATCTCTAAAGAACTTCATAGAAAAGTCATCAATGGCAAGTACTTAAAGAAATATGTACTATCTATTTGGGAAATAAATAAAAAACTAATAAAAAGTAAGTTTCCAAAGTTATGGACTCGGTTTATGCTTCAATCTTAAATGCTCGATTAAAAAATAATAATACATATTAAAAAATAATAATACATATGTGTCCGTATGTGTGTAAAAATATAATAAAGAAATTAAAAAATTACTTAAAAATCATATGCTAGAAAAGCATTTTACAAAATCCATAGTGGGGTTTAAAAAAAACTCAATCATTGCTCATGAAAAGATGAAAAGAAAGCCTCAATAGATTTAATAGACAACAACATTTACACAATGGTGCAACCTACTCTTTAATGTCCATCAATCTCTTTTCCAATTATAAGTTTTTAACAAATAGAGAGTTTATGGATTGCTATATCTTTGTAAGGGAAGACTAAAAGGAAAGATAGAAACATTACTAGGTATAATGAGTCTATAACTATATGAAGAGACCTTTAAGAGGCCTCAATGCAACACTCAATGGCTTAGTAATATTTTATAATGACTCTAAATCTTATAAACTGAGTTGATTAATATACCGAGATGAATGTCAATCAAGAGTTATGTACCTTATAAAAACCTTTTAAAAGAAAAAAAGATAGAAATACTTTCTATAAACATAGAGGAAGAGATGAGACAGAAAGGAATAAAGAAGGTAAAAAGGGAGATAAAATAAAGAAAAGACATATACCCGATAATGAAATAATAAAAATGAAACCCTCTTGTCGAGAGAGAATTCCAACACTAACTTTTTTAACCTCAAAAGAAGGTTGTAAGGTTGCAAATGCCTCATTGACATCATGAACACCAAAGGCCAACCTTGTAACGAGTATATGCAATAATAGAATCCAAAGCTTCACTTTATAAAGCAATAACTTTTTTAGTCTATATTGCTCAAGTATCAATATGGTGGGTTTTAGAATCTAACATTGCATCCAAAATAACTACATCAAAAGCCACCATTTCATCTATGTGATTGAGGGAAAGAATAAAGGGCTTTATGACTATCCCTTCAACAATAACAATATGGGTAACGAAAAGAGCTTTTAGAAAATCCAAATGTAAATCACATTCTTATCAATAATCCATCTCCTACAATGATAAAGATACATTAGATAAAAAAAGAAAAGATAAGAAGGTAAATGAAAACTAAAATTAAATGAGGATACCTTTTCAATAAGGGATTGAAAGGGTATAACAAGAATAGATTACAAAGGATCAAGGCTTTCATGCTCTCTTACGGTTAGGACAATGATGCACAAGAGAAATTTCATCCTTAGAACTAGATCAATTTCAAGATATAACTTTCTTTTATCATTGTCGATAATAGAAGATAAAGGCTTCTTTTATAGCACCTCTTGGTTTTTATTTTTAAAGGAAAAAAGAAAACGATCTTGTATACAAGTTGTAAGGAGAGTTTTAATACTCGCACCATTCACAACATCACCCTTAAAATGAGCCTTTTTTTTTAGGGAAGGTTTAGGAAGACTTTAAATGATTATTTTGGGCTCTTTTGTGATTACCTGGACAAACCTCGTCCGTTGACTTCTTGAAGAAGAAAAATGCACCTTTTAAGGTGCCCGTAATTAGAATTAAGATTGAGAATTAATGAAAAAAAAAACTATATAAAAAGAGGCAAGCATATATTTGATGATATACATACCTTTAAGAGCTTTTCTTTAGCTTCTATTTCTTTTTTCTTGTAGTTTTAACCCTACAAGAGGGTATCCTCAACTTCTAAATTAAGAGGCTCATCCTCTTTTGAATACAAAAAATTGTCCTCATAATCTGTACACCGGTTTGTCTTCATAACTTAGCCAAAAGTTTCATGTTCTGTTTTAGGAAAAATATTCAAAAGGGCTTCAATACTCGTATAATCCATAAAATTCCCCTAAAATGAGCCTTTTTAAGAGGAGAGGTTTAGAGGGATTTTAAATAAATTATTTCAAGCTCTTTTGATGAGGTGTGGATAAACATAATCCTATTAGACCTCTTAGAATGAGGAACTACACCTTTTGAGGTGCTTGTAATTAGAAATTAGATTAAGAATTAATGGAAAAAAAGAAAAAAAAAAGGCAAGCATGTAGTTGTTGATATACATACGTTTAGGAGCTTCTCTTTAACTTATTTTTCTTTTTTCTTAAACTTTTAACTCGTACATTGGAGTATCCTTAACTTTTAAACTAAAAGGCTCATCCTCTACCTCATTTGAATGTAAAAAATTTGTTCTTTGTTGATACCGGATTGTTTTTATGACTTGGCCAAAAGTTTCATATTCTCTTTTAAGCAAAATATTCAAGCTTGGAAGAGCATGCAATTAGGTCGAATATTTCTAATTCCTTAGGGCCAAAATATTGAAGCTTATTTATTTTTATTTATCTTTTGTTTTAGATATTTTATTTCATTCTTACTTGGATGTGGATTCCTATTTTGGTTTAGATTTATTTTAGGATCCATATATTATTGGATTTATAATCATTTTAGAAGTCCATATTTAATTTGGATCCATATTTTATTTGAACTTGAATAAATTAGTTCTTGTTTAATATGAAATGCATTAAAGTTATTAAGTCTATGTAGAATTAAGACTTTATTTTTCCTTGTTGTATAGGACAATCTGGGCTAAGTTTTTGTAGTCTAATTGGATAGGTTTTTCTTAATCCTAGCTACATATTATAGTGTACGTATTTAAGCTTCTTCTTCTTTTATATAATTTTTTAGATAGACTTTTGATAATTTAAAAATAAACTTTGTGTAAGAATTTTTCCTAAACTTATGATGTTCCTTGTATTTTGATTAGGATGCGGCTTAATTCTTGTGCTTACTTACGATTTGGTATTTTATATCCTTGAATTGATTGATCAAGGTAGTGTCTTTGATCATTGCATGGACTTTATGCTTAGTTAGGCTTTAAAGTTATTTCATGTAAGCTTCGACATCTATCTAGTTAGGTCTTAACTTATTGTTTATTTTAATAACGGTTTTGAACTTGTTAACTTGGTTATAAGTTTATTGGAGTTTTAGATTATTTATTGACTTACTTGAAAGAATCGACCCAACTCTACATTATAGCTTGTATCATTGAAAGTGGAAGCTTAAAAACTACATAGATCGAGCCTAATAGGGGAACACCCAATCAAGGACTATATATCCTCTATTGTAATGCTTATAAGACCCCTTCGTGTATAGATATAATGTTGTTTATATCCTATAACGTGATAACAACTCTAAGAAGAAAAGTGATTAGAAATTAGAATGTCATCTAAATTCAGACCAAACAAGTTAGTGACCCTTATCTTCATTCATTTTGCTTGGGTGTAGGGTTGGCTCTTTAAAAATGTATAAAAAGAAGAAATTTTGGGTTAGTTATTGGTCCATGTTCTTGAGGATGCTTGGAATAACTAAAAAAGTGGTTCAAATTAATGTCATGGGAAATGGGAGGATTGTAAAGCATTTCAACATCTAAATCAAGAATTAAATCCCCCAAAAGCATTGTGCCTCAATGATGATTGCCTTATGACTAAAACTATGATAAGCATAAGTCTAAGAATGTGAGTATGAGGGATGACGAAGGATCGGGAATATCTATTGGCAACCTTCTAAAGTAAGAAAAGAGAATAGATGAAAGCACCATGAGTGGACCAAAGGGATTGCCAAAATTACAAAGAGAGTTAAATTTAATGATAGTGGTAAGAATGGGAAGAGAAGATTTATGGGTTTTAGCTTTGGAAGAATGTTGTAAAGAATTAATAAAGATAAAGATTTACATAATTTATGTAAAAGAGAAGGAAACCGTAGAAATTAGAGAAGAAGAGGTACAAATTTGATCTACAAAGAAATGATGAAATGAATGTTGTAAAATGATAAGATAAGTATTGAAAATTATTTATATATGATCACTAGAACAAAGAGAATTAACGCAACAGATCAATCCAAAATGCTCATTACACCTCGAAAACTAAAAAAAAGAGTAATTAAGTACCAAAAAGATTATTTCTTTCTAAGCATAGGAAAATCTTTCCACACATGAAGACTTACACATATGAAAAGAATAGAGGCAAATGTTATACCCAAATTTAGGTTGGAATAGACAACCCATTACATTAAAAGAAAAATGGCCAAACCCATCTCTAATCGAGACCTAGTATCTAATTTAACTCTAAATCTTTTGCTAAAGACCAAAACACCCATTCCAAACCTAATTGATTATAAGACCAACATTTGATTGGAAAGATTTAAAAAGTAATAAACACAACAATTTTTAAAGAGATCATAGATCATAGACTTTCGACAAGATTGAATTGTTGTTGAATACACTTGAAGGGTAATGATATTGACAACCAAGAAATTAATCAACAACATAATCAGTAATGATTTAGCATCATAAAGACGTAACTAAGATACCAATAAAAAGATATAAGGCACCGTAGCACATAATGGAAAGTTGTAAGAAAACATGAAGCATTATAAAGGTATATGGAAAAGTACAAAAGAACGTAACCCACTAAGGAAGATCATGGAAGAGCAAAAATCTTATAATACACCTTGCAATGGGAAGGGGAAACCACAATACAATATGCAAACAAACTTAATTTGCAAATTACAAGCAATTCTTAAAGTATTATCTCAAGTTTTAACACACTTGAAACTTGTTAAGTAGTATTTTGTATGCAATAATCACATAAGTTGTAATCGAGTAGGCTGATAAATTTGTATATGGATAGATTTGTTCTTAGTTTTTGTCCCGCATCAACGGTTTGTGATAATGAAGTATTGACATGTTTGAAATACCTATTTGCAAGCACTTTTTATCATCAACTAATGTGAGTGTCTACTTAAATTTGTTACATTGCTAAGTTTGCAATCTTATCTTTTCTATTATGCGAGTTGTTTAATCTTGTAACTTTTAATTCGAACTTGTTATTTTAATTTCAAATTAGTTTAAAATATTTGAATTGCTTGTTTAAGATCATTAGTATTGTGAATAATTATTCTTATAAACTTGTAACCTAGCCTGCTTTGATAGATTGCAAACTTCATCTAAAGGTTGCAAACCGATTTTAATTACTTTATTTAGTTTAGCTTATCCAAGAAAATACCAAAAACATCTTGAGGAGAAAAAAGTAATACACGTAGAATCATTAATTAAGTCATTTTACATTCGAGCTTGAAAATTGGACTACCTTGTAGACTACTTTCCAATCATCCTTTATCCTTTTTGTGCAAAGTCCTCTTAATTTAAATAGGCACAAAAAACTCGTAAAATGGTTACTATATATCCCTCATACAACTCAATATTTTTTTTCAGATTTAGATCTTGGTCATTGTAAATAATACATCCTCTATTTTAAAAGAAGTGTCCTCTTTGACTTTACGAAGGCTTCAAAAGTTTATTAATTATTATGCTATATCAGTTTTATTATTTATATTTTTCTAAAATATATTTTTAAAATTATATTTGAATATTTTTTTTACAAAATAAACTTTAATTTAGAGTACTTTAAAAAATTATATTATTTAGAATTTTGATCAAACAAGTATTTTAGGATAAATATAAATAAAAATATAAATAATGTGTTAAGAACGGAAAAAGTGACAATAACAGAGAAAGAATTGAAAGGTAATTTAAACTAAATCAGATAAAGTTTATGAATATAAGTTCCAGGTTTGAAATTTTGAGATGAGTTTTTTACCGATTAGTATTTTATACACGCTTGTAGATTCCTCCGCTTTTGATGAAGGAGAGCTTTAATAATGAAAATAAATTTTCTGCAAAAGCATTATATTACACTATAGATTTATGAAATTGCAAATATAATTTATGAAAAAAAGATTAGAGTATTTCTTACTGTTAATTAAATTTTCAATAATAGTAATATTACAAAGAATATAATTAATTTGTGTAACTTTTTCCTTTTTTATCACAGCTCAATGCTGCTTGATTTGATGTACAAATGTGGATATTGACAAAATATTGGTAAACAATCGAAGCAACACTGGACTAAAGCCATGCGGAAGGCATATGGCTAGTTATCTTCTCCAACAATAAAGTAATCCTAATTGACATTCTCGGAAAAAAAAAAAAAAAAAAGCACAGGATACTGTTTTTCAATGTGGAGTTAAATAGCTAAAACCCTACAGAGCACAACATGGTGACAGAGTTGATGGTCCAACACTACTCTAGAGCCCAATATTGAAGGTGACAATACCTTCTATAGCCATTGGCCCAGCCCATTTACAAAATATATCTCAAGTATTCTGATGTGGAGCTTGAGCTAATTTGATCACTGGGCCTAAAACTTATGCGTTATGGGTTTTCTTGGTTAAATCTTGAGATGCGACCTCACAATCAAGTTTGACGTTTGACGCGGTTGCTCTTTGTCCATTCTTGGTATGCACATAATGCCTTCTCAAATCAATAATTCTATCTTCTTTCCATCAGCCATGACATGGACGCGGTTACTCTTCGTCCATTTTTGGTATTGACATAATGCTTTCTCAAATCAATAATTCTATTATATGTATATAGTTTAAACTTGAAGCTAGTATTTAAGAGAATTTATTTTTATTAATATATTAGAATTGCATTCTTAATATTGTGGAGAAAATATGCTTAATCTCTATTACCAAACAAAATGATATCCATTGAATGAAAAAAAAAAAAAATCAATAATGCTATTTCACATGAAAAATAAGGTTGGTGAAATTTTCCATATTTGCTATGTGAATTGGATAACTCACAATTTTTATCTTAGTCTATTCTAATAAATTTTTGTTGTGAACATTACAAAAATCAATATGATTTTTTTTTTTTTTTTTTTTTTTTGCAAAATTAAGAATTGGATTTGTAAAGCAACAAAACAAAACGTCTCTCTGTCGGGATACGTAGTCTGTGGTGGATTTTTTTAATTAGAAATCAAGCATTTAATGTTCGTAAAAAAAAAAAAAAAAATAGTGGGTGAAGTGAGCTGCTTCTCATCTTATGACCTTGCGGGTCTAGTTAATATCTCATTCAATTCCCACCGCTCAGATTTTTTCTACACTACTTATTAAATCACGTGATGTGATGAACCTGACTGAAGGTTGACCTAAATTTCATGTGTAACATTACTGCTGATCACTTATAATATTTGAGCAGAAAAACTGTTCTAAACTAAAATACAGATCCTCGGAAATTGAATGATATTTTTTGGAATTAAATTCCCCTGTATACTCCTTCCTAACGTCGGTTCCTATAACCCCAGATTCCGAACATTTGTCGAAAGCGATTTTGAACCGCAATTGGATTGTAGATCATTATAGTTAAATCACGATGACCGGGTTCGGTCGCACATCAGAACATCCGATCTATCCCAACGGTCATATTTTCCGATTTCCGGATTTTTTCAAAGGACCGGTGGATGGTATGTATATACACATATGGATGCGTGTATGATAAGATCTTAACAAGTAAAGTTTTGTTGAACCGAACAAAACAGTGAGAAAGCAAGTTTTATTGAACTGAACAGAGCAGTAGTTAGCAACAAGTAGCAGGCAAGCTTTGGCCAGAAACAAGAAACACCAAGAAGAAGGGGGAAAAGAAGTACAAAACGAAACAGCAGTATAGAAAGTACTAGAAATAACACAAGAATATTCAATTCTCAAAGTTTATTGGATTCAGAGTCAGAAGTACTCTGCAGGTTCAAGCAGGTTTGCCAGAGGGCAGAGCCTTCTTTGCATTGGGTGGAAAATGAGAGGGGCCGGAGGCTTGATCTTGATTATGTTGAATGGTGGGAGGATTATTTTTGGATGTTTCATTGGTGACAGCAACAGTTTTGGCTCCAGTTGAAGCATGAGTAGTGCTAAGACCACCTGCAGTTGCCTGTCCTAAGTCCACTAAGGGTTCATTGCCGGTTAGTATCTCTGGTGGTAGGACTTGAGATGCTTGGCGTCTATGGCGAGACATGGGTCTTTGCTGCTCTTTGATGTTTGTTTGAGAGAGAGAGAGAGAGAGAGATTTGAAGGCTGCAGATGAATTATGGAGTTTGAGTCCTGAGGTATATATATTCGAATTTTTTTTTTATCCCACATGTATTGTTGGAATTTTTTTGATTGAGATATTTTATTTTTTTGTTTAATTAAAATCTTCTACTTTTCAAGATTTGTTGTTTTAAAACTTCTGATATAATACTATCAATCAATAATTAACACGTGATTAAGATTTTTTATTTTACAATATTATATATCGATTACCGATTGGTGGCGTTATATGAGCGGATTGAAAGCAATAAATTTTGAAGAGTAAATGATCTCAATCAAGCAAGAAAAGAGTAGAAAGTCTTAATAAACAAATTTTGAAAAGTATAGAATCCAAATATAGGATAAACCTTTTTTTCTTTTTGGCTATGGAAATTAAAATCAGATATGGTTAAGGGTAATTAATGATTTATGATACTATGAAATAAATTTAGCCATAAATTTATTTGTATTATCTCATAATTTCATTAATTACTTTATACATTGTAATTGGGTTTTACATCAAAAATTGCCCCTATTCTATTGTAATCCAGCAATTTTAGAACTTTATTATCAATTTACATAATTTGAATCCTAAAATATCAGCTTTTGGATAAATATTATCTAAATCTATTAATTATAACGGTTAACCCAATTGATCGTTAATTTTCTTTATGCTGTTATTTTTTTCCTTGTTATTTTTTTTTTAAAAAAAGTTAAAAATGTCTTTTCTCTATTTTTCAAGAGAGATTTTTTTCCACCCGTTTACCTAGAAATAAATAACAAATTATTAAATTTATCACTATTTTTTTTTTGTTCTTCCCGAAAAAGAGCTTTCATTTTTTGAACCAATCTTTAAAAATCTAAAAATAAAATAAAATTAAAAAAATTAAAAAAATGGTTTTCTAACTCTTAGAATTTTAAATGCATATTATATATTTGAATCAATTGTAAGAAACAAATTATATAAAACATGTAAAGATATAAAAAAAATATTACATAAATACAGCTATATTTAAAATTTAATGATTGACAATCACAAAAATAAATTTATTGGCATGAAAAAAGGAAAGTTCCAGTTAAAATTAATTATTTGAAAATTTTAATTGATCAAATTCAACCAATATATATTTATATTTTATTAATTATAGAAGTTGATTGTTTTAATGAATAATGATACTACATAAAAGTTATTTTTTAAATTGAAAAAAATTATATACAAATACAATTTGATTGACTATGAAAAATCAAAAGGATTAATATGTAAAAATTTTAAATAAAAAAATTTCTCTTGAAAAATGGAGGGAAAACATGTTTAACATTTTTTTTAAAAATTAACGAGTGAAAAAAAAACAACAGGAAAAAAAATTAGCAATCAACTAAGTTGGCCATTATAATTAATAGATTTGGATAAGATTTGCACAAAAATTGATATTTTAAGGTTCAAATTACACAAATTGATAATAAAAGTCTGAAATTACCAACTTACAATAAAACGAGAGCAATTTTATCCATTAAACCATTGTAATTGTAAGAGAGTATAATTACAACTCATAATGTAGAATTTCAAAAAATTAAAAAAAAATACGGATTAGATATTCTCATGTTTTGTCATGTTTAGTCAAATTTAAATCATTAAATTCAAATAAATAGACATCATTTAATAAGTGATAAAAAAGGCAATAATATAATTCTTTCTTATTTTATTTCTCTTACCCAATCTGATTCATGAATTTGGATTCTCTTATGTTATTAAGGAAATAGTTTCAAATCTCAACATGAGATTTGAATTCAATAATTTGAATTAAATGAGAAGGAAAAAAAGAGAGTTAATTTATTGTCATTTTTATCATTTATTAAAATCATATTCATTCAATTCGATATCAATGACATGGATTTAACAAACTTCATAAATCATGACAAAATAAAACATGAAAATATCACAATCCATAAATCATTAAATTCAAAATCAAAGCTAAGATTTAGAACATGAACCCTCATGTTTTCATAAGAATTCAATAAGTACCTTTTGTTTTAAAGAAGGAAAACATAATAGTTAACGTCATCAAGTACCATTTTTAACTGATTACGAATTAGTAAATATTTGTATTATTTAATACATCGATCGTAAATCTCATTTAATTATCATGTTTACTAACTTTGTAAATTTGTTTAGCACCTTCAATCGACGTCATCAAGTATCATTTTTAAGAGATTACGAATTAATAACTATTTATATTTAACGCATCGATCGTAAATCTTATTTAATTACTTTGTACATTTATTAGCACCTTCGGGAGTACTGAACCTTCAAACAACGTAACAAGTATCGCTTTGCTTTTTTTTAAGTTCGGTTTGACTATCAAGGTGTTCATATATATGTGAGTGTGTGTGTGTGTGTGTGTGGAAATATTATTATTATTTTTCGAAGGATCCAGTCATCCAGATGTAATTTTCATTTCGTATTTTTATTTGTCTTTCTTCTCCAAAAGATCCAAGAAGTAACCATTAGTAGTTACTTACTCATTGGCTACTCTAAAATTTTAGATGATTTTACAACAAAAGGAGAAATTTTAGAGTAGTCAATAGATAAATAAGTATTAATATTTACTTTATGGATCTATTTTAAGAAAAAGAGAGACATACACATATGAAATGAAAAATCATATCTAAATTCTTTTATTTTTTTCTTTGTGTCTATCTCTTTATTATGGAGCAATTACCTTAAAAATAACCTAAAGTTTCTTTAAATAATTAACTAATTATTTTATATTTCAACTCTTATATTTAATCATTTAAATAAGAATAGATTTTTCTTTTGAGAAATAAATACGAATGAATTTGATTTCCCACCAATGGTATGAAGCCAACAATTTTATTTTTAAATTAGATTTTATTAAAAACACATTTTTTTAACACTCAATCCGTAACCATTTTATTGAACAATTTACTTTAGCTTGAAATTTAGCATCTAAATATATTTACATTGACTCATTTGTTTTATTTACTCCATAAGTTCCTATCGAACCAATAGAAAATGGAGTTTTTTTTTCTTTTTCAATTCTTTTGAGATAATATAGACAATACATATACCTTAAACGAATGAAATTAGAATATGAATAGTAATTAAGGCTTATTAAAACAAAAAAAAAAGCATAAATTTTATACTTTTTAATTATATTAACATGTTCTTTAAATATTGGACAAAAAAATAAAAATACACAAACTAAGTTTTTGTTAACTATATTAGCATGCATGAATTTTTTCAGCTAAAATCTCGTTATCAGTCGACGTGACGGGAGAGATAAGATGATGACAATGACTATCCCACATGATATATTTCACAATTATCTTTCCTCAAAACTAAGACGACATGTAACTTAATTAATTATTATTTATTCTCAAAAACCGCACAACCACTTTCACCATACGTAGCCAAGCATTAAAAATCTAGCCACTATTGGTCCTCCACCAAACAAAGCCGAGCCTCAAAATTCCACTCACTATTGTGAATGCTAGCCGCTCAACACTAATTTCCACACCATCAACCTTACCCTCCTCTCTCCCATTGAATGCCAATCTCCTCAATGCCACTAGCTAGCTACCTTGCCAAAACGAACTACCCTTTCAATGTCAACTGCCGTCAACTATCCTTCGGACTTGAAACTCTCATTGTCAACCGTCACTACCTTTCGGACTTAAAACTCTCATTGTCAACTACGGTTAACCAAACCTTTAGACACAACCTACTCCCAACATCGAACGATCTCCACTCACTTCATCGGGCTCTTAAATCCCCTTGCTCTTACTTTTTGGCCCATAAGAAGAAAATTCTTTAGGTCCCAACTAAGGGGTTAAGAAGAAAAAGGAACAAAAAATGAGGGAATGTTATGTGCAATAATTATGAAAAAGGAGCGAAAAGAGAATTGGAGGAACAGAGATTGCAATTCAAGTTGGAAGATAATTGGAATTGAATTGGGGGAATGGAGATTTTAATTCATTTAGGATTGTGAAATATGTGACATGAAATCCTACATAGAATTTAGCCATTGTCAATTGTCACTACCTTTCATACTCAAAACTCTCATTGTCAACTGCGGTTAACCACCCTTCGGACACAACCCACTCCCCACATCGAATGATCTCCACTCGCTTCATCGAGCTCTTAAATCCCCTTGTTTTTACTCTTTTGGCCCATAAGAAGAAAATTCTTTAAGTCCCAGCTAAGGGGTTAAGAAGGAAAAAGGAACAAAAAATAAGAGAATGTTGTGTGCAATAATTATGAAAAAGGAACAAAAAGAGAATTGGAGGAACAGAGATTGCAATTCAAGTTGGAAGATAATTGGAAATGAATTAAAGGAATGGAGATTTTAATTCATTTGGGATTGTGAAATATGTGACATGAAATCCTACATAACATTTAGCCATTGTTAACTCGTCATTACCTTTCATACTCAAAACTCTCCTTGTCAACTATAGTTAACCACCCTTCGGACACAACCCACTCCCAACGTCGAATGATCTCCACTTGCTTCATCGGGCTCTTAAATCCCCTTGCTCTTACTTTTTGGCCCATAAGAAGAAAATTCTTTAGGTCCCGACTAAGGGGTTAAGTAAGAAAAAAGGAACAAAAAATGAGGGAATGTTGTGTGCAATAATTATGAAAAAGGAACAAAAAGAGAATTGGAGGAGCAGAGATTGCAATTCAAGTTGGAAGATAATTGGAAATGAATTGGGAGAATGGAGATTTTAATTCATTTGGGATTGTGAAATATGTGACATGAAATCCTACATAGCATTTAGCCATTGTCAACTCGTCACTACCTTTCGGACTCAAAACTCTCATTGTCAACTGCGGTTAACCACCCTTCGGACACAACCCACTCCCAACGTTGAACGATCTCCACTCGCTTCATCGAGCTCTTAAATCCCCTTGCTCTTACTCTTTTGGCCCATAAGAAGAAAATTCTTTAGGTCCCAACTAAGGGGTTAAGAAGAAAAAACAAAAAAAATGAGGGAATGTTGTGTGTAATAATTATGAAAAAGGAACGAAAAGAGAATTAGAGGAACATAGATTGCAATTCAAGTTGAAAGATAATTGGAAATGAATTGGGGGAATGGAGATTTTAATTCATTTGGGATTGTGAAATATGTGACATGAAATCCTACATAGCATTTAGCCATTGTCAAATGTCACTACCTTTCATACTTAAAACTCTCATTGTCAACTGTGGTTAACCACCCTTCAAACACAACCCACTCCCAAAGTCGAACGATCTCCACTCGCTTCATCGGGCTCTTAAATCCCTTTGTTCTTACTCTTTTGGCCCATAAGAAGAAAATTCTTTAGGTCCCAACTAAGGGGTTAAGAAGAAAAAGAACAAAAAAATGAGGGAATGTTGTGTGTAATAATTATGAAAAAGGAACAAAAAGAGAATTGGAGGAACAGAGATTGCAATTCAAGTTGGAAGATAATTGGAAATGAATTGGGGGAATGGAGATTTTAATTCATTTGGGATTGTGAAATATGTGACATGAAATCCTACATAGTATTTAGTCATTGTCAACTCGTCACTACCTTTCATACTCAAAACTCTCATTGTCAACTGCAGTTAACCACCCTTCGGACACAACCCACTCCCAACGTCGAACGATCTCCACTCTCTTCATCGAGCTCTTAAATCCCCTTGCTTTTACTCTTTTGGCCCATAAGAAGAAAATTCTTTAGGTCCCAACTAAAGGGTTAAGAAGAAAAAAAATGAGGGAATGTTGTGTGCAATAATTATGAAAAGGGAACAAAAAGAGAATTGGAGGAACGGAGATTGCAATTCAAGTTGATAGATAATTGGAAATGAATTGGGGAATGGAGATTTTAATTCATTTGGGATTGTGAAATATGTGACATGAAATCCTACATAGCATTTAGCCATTGTTAACCGTCACTACCTTTCATACTCAAAACTCTCATTGTCAACTACGGTTAACCACCCTTCGTACACAACCCACTCCCAACGTCGAACGATCTCCACTCGCTTCATCGGGCTCTTAAATCCCCTCGCTCTTACTCTTTTGGCCCATAAGAAGAAAATTCTTTAGGTCCCAGCTAAGGGGTTAAGAAGAAAAAGAAACAAAAAAATAAGAGAATGTTGTGTGCGGTAATTATGAAAAAGGAACGAAAAGAGAATTGGAGGAACAGAGATTGCAATTCAAGTTGGAAGATAATTGGAAATGAATTGGGGGAATGGAGATTTTAATTCATTTGGAATTGTGAAAATGAGACATGAAATCCTACATAGCATTTAGCCATTGTCAATTGTCACTACCTTTCAAACTCAAAACTCTCATTGTCAACTGCGGTTAACCACCCTTCGGACACAACTCACTCCTAACGTCGAACGATCTCCACTCGCTTCATCGAGCTCTTAAATCCCTTTGCTCTTACTCTTTTTGCCCATAAGAAGAAAATTCTTTACGTCCCAACTAAGGGGTTAAGAAGAAAAAGAAACAAAAAAAAAATGAGGGAATGTTGTGTGCAATAATTATGAAAAAGGAACGAAAAGAGAATTGGAGGAACGGAGATTGCAATTCAAGTTGGAAGATAATTGGAAATGAATTGGGGGAATGGAGATTTTAATTCATTTGGGATTGTGAAATATGTGACATGAAATCCTACATAGCATTTAGCATTTGTGATTATCATATCTCCTCTTGTAAACTGATAACGAAATTTTGATGAAAAAAATTTAGACGTGCTAATATGTTTATTAGAAACTTAATTTGTATATTTTCTTTCCAATATAAAAAAAATTTGCTAGTATAATTAAAAAATGTAAAGTTTTTGTTTATTTATTTATTTAATAAGCCTATAATAAAATACAGCCACTCTGAGGCTCCGAAACATAGTATAGTCTATTTGGTGTAGTTATCAGTAAGGCCATCGCCCATGTGAAGGGAACAATGAGACAAATGACAATAGGATGTGTTGTAGGGCTAAGGACCACTTGCTGTTTTGGTTACCTAACCACCTAGATTACCAAAAATACAATTGCCTCAATGCACCAAACCTTTTCTGTTACTCGCTTTTTTGGAAAAAAAAAAAAAATCATGTTTCTTATTCAAATCTTTTGCTTCCCCACGTTATTTTTCTCTTTTTCAACCATTTCGCTTTTCTTCCTTCTTATTGATTCTTGTTTTTACAAACATTTCGATCACTTTATGTTGCACGATAATTTTTATACTTTTAACTTGTGATTGTTTGGTTCTTTCATTCTTTCATTAAACTGTATTTATTATATGTTTGTCATGTTGTTTACACATATAAGTAGATGGAATCCATCATGAATTGGAAATGTATAAATTGACATGACCTTTGATAATAGGGTTAAAATGATCAATTTTTTTCAGAAAAAAAAAATTTGGTCGACCACATGGCATAATTTACTGCAAAAACGAAGTCAGAGATGAAGTGAAATCATGATATATGGAGATGTAATTATCGAAAGCAGATATCTAGAAAAACTTCTGAAATTTAATAACTTCCCGATTTGATTAATATATGTAAGATTGTAATCACTCGATAATTTACTTACTCAAACTCTTTTGGTCCTAACTAATGAATTAAAATGCAGTAGTAAAACAAAGACTTGGGAAACAGAACGATAGAAAAGTCAGTATTCATTGCTTGATTTGAAAGATAAACGAGAGAAGAAAAATAATTACCTGTTAAAAAAGTGGCAATGCATGCACTCTCCTCTCAATCATTTTCCATTTGGAATGATTTGAAAATACAAGAATGAATGTAATTAGGGAGGACCCTTCTTAGTTCTTCTTTGGTTTAAAGGCATATTTGGCTATGTTCTATTACAATTTGACAATTTCAGATTTTTAGTATCAAATTGTATAATTTCAATCTCAAACTATTAGTTTTTGGACAAAATTTATTCAATTTTCCTAATTACCGTTATATGTAAAAGTCAATTGCATTGACCATTATTTGTAATGTCAAAATGACATCGTTTTGACATTTCATTGTTAATTATGTTTTTAAAAAAAATTAAAAATATTTTTAATCCCCTAATCTTGAACTTTTTTTAAAAAAAAATTCTCATAAAATATTATGAATATTTTATAAATTATATAAAAAAATTTATAAATATTTTTAACCCCTAATTTTGAATTTTTTAAAACTTTTTTATTATAAAATATTATAAATGTTTTATAAAAATATTATTTTAAGGTCTGAAATTGTGTATTATTAATTATTTTTTTACAATATTTTTTTTAAATGTTTATAATATTTTATATAAAAAAGGTTTTTTTAAAACAAAAATCAAAATTAGGGGGTTAAAAATATTTATAAAATGTTTGTAATATTTTATAAGAAAAGTTTTTTAAAAAGGTTCAAGATTAGGGGTTAAAAACATTTTTAAAATATAATTAACAACAAAATATCAAAACAATATTGTTTTGATATTCTAAATAGTAGTCAACCCACTTGACTATTACATATAACGACAATTAGAGAAATTGAATCAATTTTACTCAAAAACCAATAATTTAGGATTAAAATTATGTAATTTGATACAAAACACCCGAAATTGTCAATTCGTAATAAAATGAAGGTAAATTTTACTATTAAACCGTTATTCTTCGTACATAAATCCAAGCAAGTACCTCATCTATCTTATTTTATTTATCTCTATTCTTTTCTTTTTTTTTCATTTTCTTTTACAACTAAATAAATATAGCGTAAGTGGGGACCATAATTAGTTTCTAGAGAGGTCAGGAGAGTGTTTTCAATTTAGGAATGGTAATTCCTAGCTAAAGGATTAACACTAGTACTATTTTTTCTTTGGTCCATAAATAATTAATTTTAATATTTAAATATAGGACAAACGGTAGGTAGACATTGCAAATATAATAAAATGCCAATTCAATATTGCCTCTTTAAAATAAAATTACTGACTTAAAAGTGGTGCCTTAATTGTTTCCAAGGACCACATGGAAGAATAGCATCCATTTTATCTACATTTTCAAATGCATGCACATCCCTAATAGAAAAGAGTTCCGAGTACATAAAAAATAAGCCATCTCATTTTATTTAAGTTCAAAGGATTGATGACATGTTTCGTTTCAGTATTCTTGATATTTTTTTTAATATGATATTTTTAATGTAATTTTTTTTATAATAAATGACATATGGATTACTACTTTAGATAACAATTGAACTGTATTTAAAAAGAAGTAAAAATGTTAATAATAAAATGAAACTAAAAAAGAAAAAAAAATTCAAAATTTATTTTAACATGTGTAACCATTATCTCACATGACACTCTATATGTTAGGTAATTTGTTGTTGTTATTATTATTATTATTTTTATCGAAATCCTATGGTACGAACTACATTGATATTTTGAAGGGACATCTGAATATGGATAACTCCTACGGAAAACAACAAATAGCTACCTGTCAAACAATTCCCTGGTATTTGGAGTGACAAGTACGGTCATGGGACAGACATTGATATTTTGGGTAGCTCATTTCTTATCAAACACAACAGGCTCACACATGGTGCGCAAAGAAGACTCCAAAGTTTGTTCTGTTTATTAGTTACACCACAATCAGTAGATACATGGATTTCTGTGGGATCACAGATCTTCCTGGCCACATTCATGTATGGGAATCTGTGAATGTAATCCACATGAATGGCACTGCTCTGAATGTAGCTGAGCTGATGATGTGAGTTTGTATTTGATAAACGTTCAGGACTCGGACTATAGCACAGTGGGTTTATCACTGTCCAACGATTAATGAACTGGTCTTACTCTAGGACATTGCCGAAAAAAAAAAATTTCCAATCCAAGAGTTCTAAGCTTTCACCAATTGGAATTTCACTTTGCTTTAATTTGTTGTATGTAATTTGCTGCTAGTTCTGTGGCCTTTTTTGCTTCGATTTTGTTTCATTAGCTAGTTGTTGCTATAAACTCCTGGTCGACTATAATCAGTATTCGTACATATTATATATATAAAATACTAGTATACGGATTATGGATTAACTAAGAATATAAATCATATAACTCTTAATCTAAAACACACACATATATACATGGCCTGAATGTTTGTCCTAGTTATTTATTTATTTTTATTTAAGTTTATATTTTTGAGTCCTTATTAAGTTTGAATTGGACTTTTAAATTATTAAGTCCAATTAAGTTGAGAGTTTATTTTAGTCCTAGTTTATTTCATTGCGGGCTTAAATTTTTAAATCCAATTGAATTAGGATTTTTAGGAGT